GAGGAAATGAAACGGAGGACTAAAGTTGAAGGTAGAGAGGAGGGCAGGAGAAAAGGAGAGAAAACAGTTAGAAGAGAGGGGATGAGACAATAGCACAAGGAAGTGGAATGAAAAGAAAGGAAAATATGGGAAAAGGAACAGAAATGGAAAAAAGAACTGGCAAAACAGAAGAGAAGAAAAGAGAAAACAAAGCACACAAGAAGAAGAGTTGAAAAGAAATGAGTAGAGGACGTGCGATGAAAGGAAAGGAGAAAAGGAGAAAAGAGGAAAGGAAAGAAAGATAGGAAACTGAGATAGCAGGAGGTGGAGAAGAAAGAAGAGGAAAGAAAACAAGGAGAGAAGTCGAGATGAGGAAAGGAGCCAACAGAGGCGAAGAAAAGCAAGAAGCATGGCTGACATGCTGGTATGGCTGTGTTTACAGTGAAATACAGCAAAAACCTGGAGCATCACCCATTTTGCATCAATTAGAAGCTTCAGATTAGATGATTACAGCCACTACATGATGTGTAACCGATATTTTCACTTTTTTGGAGCATTTTCAGACTGAAGATGTATCAGTGTGTTACAGCTTCAGAGGAGGCATGAGAACCTGAATATGGGTAAACTGACAAAAATAAATTGAAGTTTATTGTATGAATAGTTAATTATCTGTGACTCAGATGACAAACTCCAGCTCCCAACCCTGTCTCTGCTCAGCAGACAGTTTGTGTTAAACAGCTCCATCACTCCATTATAGTGCAGTGATAATATAAAGCTAACACCATGCTCCAACACACAGCAGTGAGAACAATTCACCTCTCATCAGAGAAACAATCAGCAACATTATCGGACTGTGTGTGTTGACAATAACAAGGCAAGTGTGTGAATCCCTATGTTTTTGTGTGTGTGTGTGTGTGTGTGTATGTGTGTGTGTGTGTGTGTGTGTGTGTGTGTGTGTGTGTGTGTGTGTGTTTTGTGCTGTCTATATTCAAATTCAAAGAGGCTATATCGTCAAATGTCACTCACTGTTCCTCAAAGTACAACAGGAGACTGCAGCTCTCCAAGCAGGACTGGTAATTTGTTTAAGTTCATCATGTGGTCGAATCGAGGAAATATCTGGTTCCTGATTGGCTGGAGTTCTGTGCATTGTATTAAAAAGTGCGGCTCTGTCTCAGTCACAGCTGACAGAGCAGCTCCTCTTTGGGGAGCCATGGTTTTTTTGTATGCGCCTGTCTCGATGGTCAGGCTGTGCTCACTGCGTCTGTTCTCTGTCAGGGTGTTCTGTGTTTTATGTCAGTCACTGTGTCCATGGTGTACTGTGTTTTTATATAGCTCTGCATTTTGCTGTGTCCTCTTGTTTGTGTGTTCCAGTGGATGACATTGTTTTGTTACTTTTAATTGATTTGTTGTCATACTGGTTCTGGAGCAGAACTGGGTTATCAAGTGTTTGTGATCTAAGCCCTCAGGACCAGCTGTGAGGGGACTCTCTTTTCTTTGCTCAGCTCCTGGCACTGCAGGGCGTTGCAGTGGTGGGAGTAGGTGGTGGAGGTGGGGGTCACAATTTTTAATATGAAGCTAATATTTGATTGCTCTTTTTTTTTAATTTTGATGAATAGTGGGAACTGGCCTATAATTCTGCAGGTGTGTGTAATGCACCTGCAAGATACTTTTGCAGAACTCTACATGCAGTTTCAACTGGGTACTTACTGAATATTGGTAAGATAGAGGAGTCTACACCTCAGTACCATAGAGGAAATTAGTTCTATGACAGAATCAATTCATTTGAGCCAGATTCGAATTGGGATATGGATGTACATTTTACATTTCATTGCATAGAGTTCTATACGTGCTTTCTCTCTCAGTTCATTTACTGCTGGGTTAAAACTTCCAGTGGAATTTATGTTCAATCCTTAAATAATGTTTCTCTAAAATCTGGACCTTTTTTTTTATTTTGGAAAAATCATTGCTTTAGTCTTTTCATGTTGTTGAGGGAACTTCAGTTTTAGATCATGGTGACATCTTGTACAGGCTTCAGCTGCAACTCTAAAACCCCTTGATTCAGTCTACCACTCTGCTCTCAGGTTCATTACTAGTGATGCTTATAACACACATCATTGCATCCTGTATAAAAAGGTTGGATGGTCTTCTCTCTCTCTCTGAGAGGCCTGATTTGCACGTGTATTTGTTTATTTACAAAGCCCTTCTTGAAAAACTGCCTTCTTTACTTCCATGTTAGTTTGGTCCACTGGACCACATTAGACCAGGACTAATGTCTGGCTGATGCTCCATGTCCCTTGAGTTCATACTGAGCTTGGAAGATTTGCTTTTGGCTTCTTTGCACATGAATTTGTTGGTACCTCTTAGATTCTTAATCTCTGACCTTTTAATTTCTGTTTGTACCTGTTTTAATTGATTCTTGTCATTACACTATTTATTAATTATATTTATATGTTTGTTTTAATTGATGTTCTTTATTAACTGGTATTTTTACCTACTCGATATCATTGTAAACAATGATTGTATTGTTGTCGGGGGTCCAGGTTCTGCTGTCTCCTACAGAACAGGGGTTACAGCAGAACCTGGACCAGGTCATGTGCACGGAGCAGGACTTTGAGCTTAGTGTCATGTAGAGTTAGAGAGAGGTGCTGCTGATTGCTCTAGGATAGGCCAATTCATTAATATAGGCGATATTAGAGTTGGACAGCAGCCCTGCTTCACTCCACGCTTCTGGGAGAAGAATTTTATCTGATGTCAATTTCTTGTTGTTCATGTACATTGATTTAATTATATCATATGTTTTACTCTTTACACCAGATTCAGTAAAACAAACCATTGAGCTGAATACAATCAAAACGCCTTTTTGAAATCTACGAAACAAGCAAATATTTGTTTGCTGTTGTTTTGGTTTGGACATGTTCGTCAATTAAGGTGTGAATGTTTAAATACGATCTGAAGTACAGTGTTTTGGTATGAATCCAGTTTGACTTCTACTCAAGACATTTTGTTTGGTAAGGAAACTTATAATGCTACAGAGAGCCTTACCCACATTACTGTTCACACAGACCTTGCTAATTATTTGGGTCGGATGATGGCATGACTCCAGAGGTAACCTACACTCACAATCCCACAAGCCCACTGGCTTTTTGAGGTTTTCGGGCTGAGAGTTTTCTCTTAGTTCCTGCTCAGTAATGGGGGAGTCCGGGGGGTTCATTTTTTCTTTTATTGCCAATTACAGTTTATTTAGTTTTTGCTATTATTTGTTTCTGATATGGGTCTGTGTTGTTTGGCAACGTTTCATAAAGTGTTTCGAAACGACCATGTGTCTCCATCCTGTGTTACCAATTCTTCAAATTTGGATTTCTTAAGAATATTAAATTTTTTCCAAAAACCGCTTTGTGTTTATGGACTCCCCAATTACTGCCACTTGTTTCTGTGTGTATTTTGCCTTTTGATTTGAGTGTACATTTGTTGTACATGTGTTTAAATGTGTTGCAGTAAAGAAGGTGTGAGTTCACATTTCCTGGATCTCTGTTTGTCATCGGATAATATCTTAAACTTTTGTCTTTTCTTTTAATCTTTATCAAACAATTGTCATATTTTGGGGCTTTTTAAGATTCTTTTTGGATTGTTTCAGTTGTGATTTCCTGTGTCTGCCTTACTGCGTGGCTGAAACCAGACTTTTAATGTGAAACCTGTAATTATTCAGTGTTTTCATTTGGTTTATAATACCTGGCCTGTTTGTTTTGGAGAGGAGGAGACCATCTGTGGATAATTTTGGCTCATGGTAAATAACTCTGGAATTTCATTGACACTAAGAGATCCTAACAGAAATATATATTATATATATATATATATATATAAAATCAATATTTTATATTAACAATGGATCAAATGAATATAAGTATGTGTTCAAAGTGAACCAACAAAGTGTTATTACCAGAGTTTCCCTCTGTGCAGTCAGGAGCTTCTTGTATCTTCGTTAGCTCCAGCCTGTCTCATCTCAAAATACCACTGTAGCATCAAATCTGCCCTCAGTCCAACATGAGATGATGAAGAAATAGCGCTGCCCAGAGGGCAAGACACCACATAAGCTCACACAGAATAGAAACAGCTTTTGGACGAGTAAAGTAATAAAGATTGATGCTGAACTCACAACATTTTTTCTAGACTGGTAAGTAAACAGCTGTAAATGATAAGGTTGAGTATAGTGTAACAGCAAAATTTACATATAGCACCTTTAAAATCCCTGGCTGGATTTGAACCATCAAAGAAGACATACAGCTCTTTGTTAAATAAAGCTCATGAACAGAAGTAGAAATAAATATGTGTTGTAAACCTTCTTTAGCATCAGTGTCTCTAAAATGGCAGCTGCTATGCTTCTGTATTCTGTAGTCATCTGTACTTGGGTGGTTCTAGAAGAACTACTTCCTGCCTGTTTGTCTGAGTTTCAGGACTGTGGTCGGTCTGGTGACATATGACACACAGGAGACGCTGTCAGTTTGATGCGATGTCAGTCACGAGCAGAGGCACAGTGTGGTGCAGCTCACCACAGCAGCAGCAGCACTGACAGATCAGCACAAACACATCACCAAATAAATACAGCAAAGAATGAGTTGAAGGTTTTAGGTGTAAAGTTAAAGGGTGGCTGTATTTAGCGCTGCAGTGTGTGTTTTTCTGTGAGGGAGTGTGTGCAAGTGTCCTGGTTCCAGGTGCTGTCCCCGCTGTAACCTGAGCTTCTCTTTATTAATAAATAATGCACCTGGACCAGTCGGCTCATCAGTTCGCTCATGAGATAGGCAGCTCTGCCTCATTCAGCCATTTGCCCTCCAAAGGACAGACACAGACACACACACACACACACACACACACACACACACACACACACATACTCATACACGCAGACAGACACAACAGAGCAAGACACAACATCACAGAGTTGGAGATAATCTGACAGTTTTCAGGTTCAGGATTCTATTTCAGGGATTTTTGACTTTGTGTCACCCGGAGCGACCTCACCAATCATGAATCCTGAATAGTAAGTGTTGTTTCTTTTCCATCTGCTGTGTGCCACTGTGTTACTGAGGTGTAAATATCCTGTTCCCACACAACACATACTGCACACCACTGGAAGACACGGACATCTGCAGTTTAACAGTGACTCCTGACATGGAAAGTCTCCAGATATGTTGCTTTAATCCTGTGTATGTTCGTAAAACATAAAGTACAACATGGATGATCTTATAGTTTTAGTCGACTCTGAGGTCGTTGTCACACTTACAGAGTTGTGAATCAGGTACCTGGGGTTAAAGAAGAGAAAACTGACTTTATTTTCTGCATGGGCAATTCTAGTTAACCTGGAGTTGGATCACTAGGCTGCTGAGGCTGATGGGTATTGTAGGCCTTAGGCAGGGAACGCACTGGATGCGTGGCGTGAGTGTGGCGGCTTTCAGGATGTGTTGATTTTAATTTTGGCGCACGTTAATGGATCAGAGCGGACACATTGGCTGCGTGAGTCGTGCGTGAGATGCGTGATCTAGAGATTCGGCCTCTCGCATATTTTTAATGCATGCCGTGTGCGTCTCCCAACAGAAACAGACAGAAAAAAGACCTGTTGATGTCATGTTCACACCATACCAACAACATCACATAAAACCGACACCGCCATACCACTATAGTTGTCTCTGTCTAGACTGAATCTGAATATTTTGACATTTTCTGTCAAAATAAATCAGAAATTAATTAATAACGAGGAGAGGCTATTGTGTAACAACAAAGTCCATGTACGAAGGAAGTTGGGATGGATGGATGGATCGAAAAACATTAGAATTCAACACGGAAGCCTGATTTTGTTTCCCATTTCCAACTGATAATCAAAGCTGTTTCTTTTAAAATTCCTCTCCAGACATGCCCACCTCTGCTCCGTTCACGAGGTTGACAGGTGAAAGAGCAGTGTGTATCAATCTATGATTAGCAGCAAAAACATCAGAGAGACTCAGCCACATGTTTGAGCCTGAGTCAGACCCAGACTCAGAGGAGGAGTCTGTTGAGACCAGAACCAGAGACTAGCAGACGGATCAGAGCGGTTAGTGTAGTTAGCATCTTTTATTTGTTCATGTTGTTTGTTAGCTTGTAACTGGCAGTGGCTGACACAGTGTTACTGGTTGTGCTAATGCTAACTCTCCTCTCCGTATTTACAAGGTTTCAGCGTTATTTAGCCCCGCCCCCTGTCCCCACAAGTTGACAGGATTGGTTCCCTATGTTTGTGACATATGAAACCCTGGCTGTCTGAATCTGTTTTTATGAGACTGTCATCGGTTCACTGCAGTTCAAGGTGGAAACACTCAGTCATGTTGTTGACTGATTATTTTGCTCGTCATACGTCTTGCATTCTATAAGAAACATCATATGGACGTTAACAAGGTTAAACACATCATGTGAGGTGGTCTTTAACTAGGACCATGATCGCTCTGTAACCTTAACCACGTTTATTATTGTAACCATGATGATAAACATCCTCTACTCTTAACTAAGAACTTATGTCAACACAAACAATGATCTTTGCCTAAACCTAACCAAACCTTTAAACCATTGTCACATCATTAAAGGGTTTGTTTTTTTTTGTTTGTTTTTTTTTTCAATTAGGGATGCAAGTTCAGGAAATGCTATTATGGGTTGTGTCAGTGGGTGGGAACAAATTATCTTTTTCTAACCTTAACCAAGTGCTGTGAGAGTCTAACCAGAACCATAAAACCTTTAATAATGCTTGTAACTACACGTTTATATTATACTGCAAGACTAGACATTGTGGTGGAAAACAAATATGAGTGACACTGAACACACATATTTATGACTTGACAAATATGTAAATTAACAACACATCCTTGTTATGTTATCAGAAAACGTTGCAGTTACATTTCCTTTAAGTGGATTTGCTGTTGCAGATTAGTTGCACATAACATCATTTCTGAGACAGAGTTGCCACAGTGTGAACCTGCGACTATAGTAACCTGTGACTCCACTGCCCACACAGTGACATTATCAGGAACACTACTATATTTTTTACTGCTGACACTTTATGGCCCTCGATGAAACCACAGATATCTAATACTATACAAACAGCAGTAGTGTGTGTTTGTGTGGCTGTGTGCATCCAAAACTGCTGTTTGTCTCTGTTGCCAGTTTAACTTGAACCTAATCCTTAACCTGGAACATATGGTGAACACTTGCATTATATTATAGACTAAGTAGAAACATAAAATAGATGATCCAGAAGACATGGTGAGAAAAGAAAATCTTTTTAGAAGGAAGTCATAATCCATTTTTTTGTCTCTGCCAAGGCAGCGTGTAAACATGATGGCTGTGTTTCAAAGTCGTGCTGTGCAGAATGCCACCATCTGTATTTGTATCTGTTCAACCAAACACATATATATGATAGACTATACATGTTTATTATTAACAATATAACAAAAATGGTGAACATGAACTGCTCCCTATTCTATGTCCTAGTTGGAGAGACACTGTCAAGTGTTTTTTGTGTGATTGTTTACCTATGTGCGTGTGTGTCTCCACGCTCCAGTGACTACCTGTTCAAACTTCTTCTGATTGGTGACTCTGGAGTGGGAAAGTCATGTCTGCTGCTACGCTTCGCGGTAGGCCACACACACACACACACACACACACATACACACACACACACACACACACATACACACACACACACACACACACACACTAAACAGTTTTTACACTTGAAGTTGATCATGTTTTGCACCCCACCCCCTTCCCACACACACCCCACCTCAGGATGACACCTACACTGAAAGCTACATCTCCACCATCGGAGTCGACTTCAAGATCAGGACCATCGACATGGATGGAAAAACAGTGAAGCTGCAGATTGTAAGTTGAGATTGTAAGATTGTGAATTTGTTAATCAGACAAAGTCATTGTGACAAAGTTTTTTTTTCATTTGTCATGTTCAAGAAATCCAAACTGCTGAAAGTTTGAAATTGAAAAATAAAATTTCAGTGTCATGCATACTCAGTGTACTTGCAGTCAGGACTGTGTGTGTGTGTGTGTGTGTGTGTGTGTGTGTGTGTGTGTGTGCCTATTTATTAGTGGGACACAGCAGGTCAGGAGAGGTTTCGAACCATCACCTCCAGCTATTACAGAGGAGCTCATGGCATCATCATCGTCTATGACGTCACCGAGCAGGTTAGGGTTGGGGCCATCAACAATGATGGGAGAGTTTGAACATTAACTTCTCTCCCCCTCCTCCTTCACACTTGTTTCTCTCATCTCTCTCTTCTCCTCAGGAGTCCTTTAACAACGTGAAGCAGTGGCTAGATGAGATAGATCGTTATGCGTGTGAAAACGTCTCCAGGCTGCTGGTGGGAAACAAGTCTGACCTCGTTAGCAAGAAAGTGGTGGACGCTGCCACTGCTCAGGTAACAGGCTTCACATAGCTCTGCTTAAATTTACTACCTCCTAATACTGTTAAACAATTGCAGCCACCACTTTAGCAGCTGAGAGGGTGAAATGTACAGGGGCCCATAGAGCTCAAAAAACAAGCACATAGTTAGGAAATAGGACACCTTTTTTTGTGTCCCCATGGAAACACTTCCATTTTCATCCGCGCTCCTTGCAGTGTGTTTCTGTATTTACTTGTGTTGTGATTATTTGCACCACATATATTGTCAAATTGGTGAAGATGTTTTCTGAATTTGGTTGCGTTCTGTCGATTTGCATGTGTTTTCTTAAGTTGCAGAGCTCTCAGGGCTACTCTAGTAATGCTCATTTAAAATCAGAAAACAAAACTGGAATTGAGAGACAACACTATAGCTCCTAAGTACCTGAAGGGCATATGCTGAATATAATGTAAATGTGGAAGAACCAAGGCTATGTCCACACTACTATGTTTACGTTTCAAAACGCATCTCTTTTGCTATGTTTTCACCTCCCATCCACACTACTCTGGAGTTTACAAGCCCTGAAAATGGAGACTTTTTGAAATGCTGCTGGCCCGGTTTTAGTTTGAAATCTCCGGGGTTGCATCATAGTCTGCATGGGTGAAAACTGAGACCTTTGGAAATGATGATGTAGACACCACGGTCGCTCCCTGATTGATTCATATATGCCTTGACTACGAGTGGTGAAAACAGCATGGATAATGAGTTACGGATAATGAATTACTGACCTTGCTGTCTTTTCTAGCAGCTGTTGTTCAGTTAAATTCTGCATTTTAACACTGCAGCTGTCTTTGCTGTTCCTCGTTCATAGTATTTTTTTGCAACTAATCAACTGCAGAGATGACGATCTGCTTCCTGTTTACACTGGCTCACACATGCCCAGTGTATGTGATTGCTCGTGTAGGCATGCATTTTCAGGTGTGATAATGGACAGAGATGAATTCTGATACAGAGCTAAAGCGGTCGTCTAGACAGCGACATCTCTGGAGACATCTCTGGAGGGACCTGAAAACTCTTTGAAAACTCTTTGAAAACTCTATTTCCAAATGAAAACATAGTAGTGTGGACGTAGCCCAAGTTGTTAACTGAGCCAGAACTTAATGCTAATTAATGGAAGCATAACCATGCTAATGCATTAACGTTAGCATGCAGACATGCATATAGTTAGGTTGTTAACATGCAAATGTTTTGCATCCTATGTTGGCAATGATTTTGTAGTCCATCAGTTTTGGAGTTATGAACTGAAGTGCTGGGCAGGGGGACGGTTTGACCTGTTGGTGGCGTTTCCTGAAAAATCTAAGTAGTTTTCAGCTTCTGGAAAATGTCCTCCACTACATTTCAGAGAAAAGTTTATATTCAGCTACATTTATCTGATCTCTAGAAACACTTTGCAGAGTGTGTACTGTTTACATGCCAAACATTATGTACACTCATAAGTTGTGATGCTCTGGTTGTAGTTTGAAATACCCAACAGAATATAAAGTTACGCCACCTACAATATAAAAATACTAATTGCTTCTTATACCTTACTTTTCAATATAGTGTATTGTAGTATTGATACATTGTGATGTTTTCGTATAGAATAAGATTTGTTATTGTTGCCTCCCTTCTGGATTCCCTCCTTCGTTCCTTGTCCCCTGTGCCTCTCTCTAGGACCTGGCCTCGTCTCTTAAGGTTCCCTTCCTGGAGACGAGCGCTAAGAGCTCTGATAATGTGGAGAGGGCTTTCCTCACCATGGCCTCCGAGATCCACAAGCGCCTGGCCAGTGAGGGAGGGGGGATGCAGGGTGAATCCACAGAGGCCAGGACCCAGAGCACTAAGATCAACAGCGCCCCTCTGTGGCTGGGAGGGGAGAAACAGACGCAGGAGGCCAGTAACTGCTGCTGAGCAGGGGAAACACTGTGCTAACCTGTCTACAGCGATATGTACACTGTTCAAAAGAGAGGGATGTGTCATTCCAAACACACCCACCTGTCTAGCAATGAAATGAAATATCACATTGACATACAGTAAATATTCAGATCCTTTGGTCAGTACTACTTGAAGCATCTTTGGCAGTGATTACAACTTTGAGTCTTCTTGGGTATGATGAGACACTTCTGGATTTGGGGATTTTCTGCCATTCTTCTCTATAGATCCTCTCAGGCTCTGTCAGATTGGATGGGGACTGTCGCTGGACAGACATTTTCAGCTCACTCCAGAGATGTCCGATTGGGTTCAAGTCAGGGCTCTGGCGGGGCCACTCAATGACACTCACAGAGTTGTCCCTAAGCCATTCCAGTGTGTGAGCTTAAGGTTATTGTCCTGTTGGGAGGTGAGCTTTAGGCACAGTCTCTGAACCAGGTTTTCTTTACAATACAGAATATCTCTGTACTTTGCACCACTCAGCTTTCCCTCAACCCTGACCAGTCTCCCTGTCCCTGCCGCTGAAAAAAAACCCCACAGCATGATGCTGCCACCCATGGTATTGGTCAGGTGATGAGTGGTGCCTGGTTTTCTGCAGATATGACGCTTATAATTGAAGCCATGTTCAATCTTGGTTTCATCTAACCAGAGAATCTTGTTTCTCACAGTCTCTCACAGAGAGTCCTTGATGAGCTTTTTTTTTTTTTGTAAACTCAAAGTGGCTTTAATGTGTCTTTCACTGAGGAAAGGCTTCCGTCTGGCCACTCTGACATGAAGCCCAGATTGGTGCACTGCAGTGATGGTTGTCCTTCTGGAAGTTTCTCCATCTCCATCTCCACACAGGATCTCTGGAGCTCAGTCAGAGCGACTGACAGGTCACCTGTCTTACCAAGGCCCTTCTTCCCTTACTACTCAGTTTGGCAGCCAGCTCTAGGAACAGTCCTGTTTGTTCCAAACTTCTTCCATTTAAGAATGATATAGGCCACTGTGCTCTTGGGAACCACCAATGCAGGAGAAATGTTTTTTGTAGCCTTCCCCAGATCTGAGCCTTGACACAGTCCTGTGTCTGAGCTCTGCAGGTAGTTCCTTACCCCTCACGGCCGGGTTTTTGCTCTGATATGCATTTGTCAGCTTTGAGACCTTATATACACAGGTGTGTGTCCAATCAATTGAATTTATCACAGGTGGACTCCAGTCAAGGTGTAAAAACACCTCAAAGATGATGAAGAGGAATAAGATGCACCTGAGCTAAATGTCAAGTTTCATAGCAAAGTGTCTGAATACTTATGTCAATGTGATATTTCACTTTTTCCCTGTTAATACATTTGCTGATATTTCTAAATTTTTGATTAATTTTGACATTAAGGGGTAATGAATGTAGACTGATGAAGGAAAAAATTAATTAAATGATTTTAGCATAAGGCTGCAACATCACAAAAACGTGAATAACTTAACCTAAGCCAAATCTATCACCAGAACAGTGTTGGTGACAAAGTTTTACAAATACATCGAGGATAATTTACTGTATCACTGCTTTAACTCCTTTAAAAACATGGAGTTACAAAGTCTTATGGAAATAGTAACATCTTGGCATAGTGTGAGAAGTTTTCTGCAAAAAATGTGATATTAGCAGTTTGTGCTGCTGTTGTGGATGAATGTACAGTGTGATTAAAAAATAGTTATTTACCATAATTTCCCTCAGAGGTGATTTATAGTATTTACCAGTTTTTGTTGTGTTTTGTTTGTTGTTTGTTTATGTCAATAAAAAAGATCTCAGGATTCTTGATGCTGAAAATGTGGTTAAAAGATGTGAAATATAAAACAAAACCTCATAAATACTGTATGTAAGGTCTGGTTGAAGCTACAAAAACTACTTGTCAAAGTTGGTTGTACAAGATTGGACATGAACCTGAGTGTCTGCTGCATGGCAGAGAAATTTTGTCCTCAAGAGGGACATGTCAAGACAATTTCAACATTGATGAAGACAGCATTACAATATAAGATGCAGAGGCTTTAAAATGTAATGTCAACAGATGGTAAAGTGACCGGTTAGTGTTATAACACAGCCAGAGGTGCCATAACATGCTCTCTGTGTTCAGTGTTGTTCATGAGCTTAGCTGATGCATTCTGGACCAGTTTAGATGTGGCAGCTGTTGCACCATTCAAACATGTAAATACAGATTGGCAGTAATTTTTGCACAACACTGAATTTTAACCATATTTCTTAGGTTCAGAAAGCAGGACTTTAAATGAGCTAATTGGATAATAAATAACCACAAGGTTTGCAATCAAAAAATTTATTGCCAAAGGTCCAAAACAGGAAGTTATATATTATTTGAAATGTGATCAAAACATATGAACAGAACTTCAATTATGTAAAATATTCAGTTTGAGGAACTAAGAAGATTTTTAATAGCAGCACAGCAGCTGTTCAGGCTGCCCAGATTATTAAACCTTCAATGGTAAAAGATTCTCTCTGGATTAAAATCACCATCCAATCTGCAGTTATGACACATTGTTGGACATTCTAGGAAGATATTAACCTGACAAATATCACTTGGGGATGTGAAGTGATTTCTCATAATTACCTGACAACACTGAATAGCTTTATTAGGGTCATTTTTCACACAGGTCAATATTGTAGCTCCGTTCTGTGTAAAGAACAGTGACATGATGATTGACTTTAGATTCATGCCATTGTAATCAGCGGGACATTGTTTCAAACAGCAGAGCCTGTATTTATCAAGCATCCAGAATCCCTTGTGTAGGAATTACATGGAAGCTAAATTAGAACAAATAACACTAGTGCACTACTACAGAGTGGAACATGAGATTTTAAATGATGCTTCCTGCCCCAACTTTCAGCTCCTCAGAGAGTGTGATGTCTATGTTTTACCACATTGTCCTCCAAGTAGAAATTATGAATGTGTTAGTTGAGAATCTGGAGTATTAAACAAGATGCAGAATATATGGCCACTTGTTAAAATATGATGCCATTTACCCTTCTGTTGTAATTAAGAATTTGCAAATGTATATGAATGTTAATACTGTGGGAAAGCTGTCAGCTGGAGTTTGAGTTGACTGTTGTATATCCAGCTGCTGGATAAACAGTCTTCAAGTCAAGTGTTGAGCAGAGATGTTAGCATTCAATGAGGGGGCTGAACAAACTGGTGACTGTAATCCTGAATTTGATAAATGTCCAACACAGGCAGGCTGCTGTTAGCTGTCCTTCCACTAGATGTCAGTCTTGCTCTGTTTCTCTGTTGCCACTGGGACAAGCTGATAAACTCGCCTGGTTGACAGGCAGTTGAACCTCTCGTTGACAAAATTGTGATCTGTTTTCACCCTCTCCTCTTTCCCTCCATTTCTCCCTACCTTACCTCTCTGCTTCTCCTTTGTCCTCCACTTAATGTACCCCTCCCTTGTCTAACCTGAGCCTTCCTGTTCCTTTTTCTCCCTTGCCACCTTTCCATTCACCTGATCCCATCTTGTTGTCCTCTCCCCCTCTTATCTTCCATTGTCCCTATTCTTTTCATTCAACCTGCTCCCTTCCATCTAACTCATCCTGCATCCTCTTTTTCTCTGTATTCCCTCAAGCTCTCGCTTCTCCTCTATCTTGGATTGTTCTGCTTTATCTTTCTCCCTCTCTCTTTTTGGTCTGGCTCTGTGGCTGGTTGCTGCTTTCTTAGTTTGGCTGTTGCGAGTGTGATTGTGGGACAGCGAGGATGTTGCTGATTACATTGAAGGTATGTAGTGATGTCACTTGTTCGTGCGATACTGTACACCTCACCACCACTAAAATGTCAAACATCCAACATGTGGATACAAAACCACAATCCCAAGGTGCACTAACTAAACAAAACATTATTACTGAAAACCAGTGGGTCCAGAAAGTCCCCCCAGCAAGCCATGTGATCCCGAGCATATGGCTCAAATTGCAATAATCTGTATTAGACTTCACCAAAACTTATGGGAGAAAACTCCAGTTCCCAAATTGACACCTTAAACCAGAATGCACAAAGGAGTAACAGAGATACGGTGATGTGATCCTGGGCCACTTAGTCTGCAGAGCTGTTCTTGTTTTGACTCGTGTTCCTCTGGAGTAATCCAACCTTGTTGTGAAAACCAAATGTACTCACGTTCAGGCAGGACAAGGGTTTATTTTTATCTGCCAGCATTACAGCAGGTGATCCAGTTATACATCTGAGTCTTGTCCATGTTCTGCATTAGCTAAATCAGTCACATTTAACATGGTCAAAAAAAACCTCTCAGTGTTGTAAGCCCTGCCTTCTCCATAACACTAAACGGCTCTAATCACCTGTCGTAAATTACATTGTTTCATTGTACACTTTACAAATATGATAGAAAAAGAGTGTAACCTTAGTAAAATACACTATTTAACATACACATAGACTATTATGTAGACTTTAATAAATGTGGAATCTAAATATGTCTTAAAAGCATATTCTATCAAAAATAGGATATACACTCAGTTGGCTCTTACACACAGTGACTAGAATAACGCCCCCCCCCCCCCCAGAAAAAAAGAAAAAAACTACACTCACGTGATACTTCCCTGATGAATTTTAACCAGTATCCAGACATACCAAAGCACCAAATGCCTACATACTAACTGGCAAACCTCTATTGCCACAGGAGGTAGCACAACACAAACAAAACCGGGTCAAATTACCACAAGATTACCCTAAAGGCTAAGATTCATTTTACCAAACTACTTTGATCCAGGACGAGCCCCCAATTTGTCACAACCCTGCTCAAGGCTGGACAAAGGAGGGAAACCAGACATGAGTTATAACTAAAAAGAAACTTATTATACACAACTAAAAAGGAACTCCCTCTAAAGACAAACAAAACCAACAGGGTGGAAGTCAGGGGAGAGGAGGAGACTGGCTGACTGGCACCAGCTTATATAGTGCAGCCAGACCAGGTGAGCTGAATCTACCTGATAACCAGACTCCACC